TATATATATATATATATATATATATAATTTTTATATATTTATACATATATTATTTATACATATATGTATATAAATATGAGCTAATTGGTGAAAGGAGACTTGACTATCCAGCTGGACACACTAGCGGCACACTTTAACACTAATTTACCCCAAACTTTCAAGTATTGAAGGGTCTGAAAGATGAATTGGCGCATCCTTTATTATTTTGTAGTAATGCCCACCCACCGTAGAAATACACGGGTCATAGTATGGAGCCAAAACGAATGAATTCCTTTAAGGCTAAACCATAAAGAAGCGGTTGTGCACAGATTTTGCAGCACTCCGTTCAGCATAGAATGGCGGTATTTGTGAGTGGCAGGCATGACTGACAAGATACTCCCACTTGCAGATTCGGCAGAATAGAGATCTTCTATCGAAGACTTGAGCTTGCTGTACAGGCTGTTTAGAAAAACAGGCTAATTATGTTAAAAACAAAAACATAGGCAGGAGGAGCAAGTGCAACTTTGTCCATTCATTCAGTCCATCGCTCAATCATATTAGATGAAGGACTGGCAGAAGAATTTTTCCACAATCATATGAGTAGAGCTAACGTTTCCATTGAATTTCACATATCGACATCCCCAGCGAGAATAGAACTTTGAAAGTGCAGCATGTGAGCTTGACACGTTAACCATTCGGCCACATTGCCACGAGGGCCCTTGGATCACAGAGCAGATATCAATTTCAGGTAAGGCCAGGTACTTGATCGCTGGTATCTTCCAAATACCAATACTGGCCTTAGCTGATAATAGTGCTGAATGGCGAACATGTGCAGAGTCAATCCTATATAGGTTTGACGTATATGCCTCTTACACCGCGGGTTCTGGGTTCGAGTAGGGCGCCTGGAGACTTTCGATGACGCGTAAATAGATTCAAAATCACAAGATATGTCTTGTTCGCAGTGGTCTGAATTCGTTTGTGCAACTTGATCGTGTTACCAGGGTGACATAGTTGATCACATTTTGTCCGAAGTGCCGTGCTACAGTCGTTATGATAATTCCCAGCATCAGATCGTGGCATAATATTCGGCATCATCAGCGAGGCTTGGCATTCTCAGTACGAAGCTACAACTCGTCAAATAGACAAGTTTCGACCTCTCCGGAGATCGCAGAAGAGACCTCCAGGTCAAAACTTCAGTCCACTTTGGATGAGAACACTGGCAAAACCTGGTAAATAAGTGGTTTGACCACCTGGTCCTTGCAAGAGACTTAACTTGTCCCATTGACGAGTTGTAACTTTGTGCTAAGAATGAGAAGACTGACTGGCGATGCCAATTACGATGCCGGCAAAACGTCTGGGAATTATCATAGCTACAATGACAGAGGACTTTAGACAAGGTTTGTTTAACTAGTTCCCCCTGACAGCAAAGCCGATTTGCGAGAACGAGGTCAAACCACTTCAAAATCGCAAGTCGGCTTGGATGGGAGAGCAGTTTTGGGGTATAAGACCAACTCCCAATGAATAACAGGGCCAAGCCCGCGCTGTATATCCTAAGGGGTATCTGTATCTGCTATCAGGTCCCCATGACAGCCAACGACCAATGGTGTACCATCGACCTGTATCAGTATGACCGGTTTACTTTGCGAATGAGTAGTTGGGTGAATTTGACCCCATATTGCCGGTACGCTGCTGCTTGCTCGTTGCCATACCAATCCTCACTCCCTCCTCGAGAACACGTCCACTCGGACGGCAAAATAAACTGGACGGAACACGTAGTACACTACCATCGGCCTAGGTTTCTTGCTATGCCACTGGGGGGTGGTGGTGTTGCAGTGGGGAGGATTGGAATGGTGAATTTGCCAACAACTGGGCAAAAGGGAGAATCACGCCACTGGGCGGCAAAGCACACACTCGCCGGCCAATGGACGAGCGGCTTGAGTGGTCAGTGATTAATTGGACGGACAAGTGCACTTGTGCGTATGCAGTCTACAGTCGAGGGCTTCCGTGTAGAAGCCGCTTGGCCGAAAGTGGGACTGACCGGCTTCGCCTTAATCAAACCCAGATGCACGGCACCGTGGAGAGTGAACCAACATGACCAGGCAAGATCGCATCAATGCTACAGACGTGGGTTCGCTTATGCCCGCTTGCTGGATGCAATGAGGAGAACGCCCATCTGCCACCCGAAGCCAGTTTCAGGCAAAGATGACCCAACTCCGTGTCGCAATTGCAGGAATTAAAGGGAGCTGAATGGAAGACATAAATACAAATGCTTCAGTGGCCCTAATGGAAGGCCAACTATAAAGAAGAAAGCATAAAAAGGAAGGTCGTAGATATGAAGAGCAAGATGATGTGACCTCCTTAAGTTGTGCAGTGTAGCTTTGACCTCGTTTTCGCAACTTGGTCGGAGCATCAGGGAGACCTTGTGGTATGTGCCTGGTCATGAGTCCTGAGTCGGAGCATTCGTGAGTTCCAGCATCGAACTATTGACTTGATACATTCCCAAATGTTTCGCTCCGACCAAGTTGCGAAAATGAGATTAAATCAACACTATAAAAGGGAAGGACTTGGAAAATATAGTATTTTTTAGAGGCGTAGCGATAGCAAGTGGTAAAAAGAGTAAAGATTGTATTGAATTTCACCTTGCCATGCAACCCGAGGTCGTTCTCAGCCAGACTAGACTGTGGTTGCGACCCCGCCTCATTGCCTCATCAGGACTTATAGAGAGACCCTAACTGCGGGTTGTGGGCTCAAAGGCAAATATTTTGCTCACGGCTTCATCATGGCACATATCGCTTTACGGGAATTTTGTTGTTTCCTGACCAGCTTGTAGTGGAATATGAGAAAAAATTCCACCGGTACATATGAAGACCAAGATGATGTAACTTCTGTTTGGGTCGTAGTCTACTTTCGCTGTATATAAGTGGTTTGGTCTCATTTTGGCAGATTAATCGTGCTACCATTCCCCGTCTTTTTGACGAGTTGTTGCTGGGTGCCAAAAACGGCAAGACCCACTGATGACGCTGACTTCGACGCCAGAGAAACGTCTGTGGGTATATCAAGTCCGCGGTCCGACGATGGAAATTGTCATAGCTACCATAGCAGACAAGTTCGGACAAGATGTGTCAAAACCAGGTCGCCATGACAAGTCGATAAAGTTGCGAAACTGAGTCAAACCACTTTCAATTGATACACTTCTACACAAATCAGGCTCGGCACAAAAGTGCCCACAAATGATATTATGCCACGAAAATCATAGTTTCCGTGTAAAATGAGGATATGATGAGACATTGCCTAAGATGAGAATGGCAAAAATAAAGTCTCCTATGCCCTGGAGAGACCCTGTATTTTCAATAGAAAGGCAAATCAAGGCGACTGAGCCTCTACAACAATAAGGCGCCCGATGGCTGCGGAACAAAAGTGTTACTTGAGACTAGGTACTGGCGAGAAAAGGGCGGGAGATGTAATAATGGAGGGTTTAAATAAAGTGGGAGTAGAGGCCATTAGAGGAATTTTCCACACGAAGATAGGCGAGAATGACATCGCCATAGCAGGAAATTAAGCGGAGAATAATTACGAAAGTCAGAAGTGATCTGAACTTGCTTTCGCAACTTGGTCGTGTTGTCATGGCGACTTAGTTGTATGCGTCTAGTCCAAAGTCCTTGACTGTAGTAGTTATCATAATTCCCAGCGTCGGACCGCAGATTTGGTACATTCCCAAACGCTTCGCCGGCTACGTAGTCAGTATTGTCAGTGAGTCTTGCCATTCTCAGTACCAAGAATTGTCTTCTTTGCTCGTATAGCGGTGGAACATCTGATAATGTACCAAGTACACGATCCGACGCTGAGAATTATGACAGCTACTAGAGCAGAGGACTTCGGATAAGGCTCACCCAACCCTGACAACACGACCAAGTTGCGAAAACGAGGTCAGGCCATTTCTATACATCGAAAGAAAACTGCAACTAAAATAGAGGCCACAACATCTTGGTCTTGATAATTACGAAAGTGAGTTGAAAAAATGGGCGATAATTGTGAATACAGTTGAAAAATAGAGTCAAGGAGATTGATATTTAAAAAAAAATGAGATGGAAAAAGATAGGGAGAGCAAATAGAAGAGGTTGAGAGCAATAGGAGGACAGAGGCCTTGTCTCGTTTACTTGTGCATTCGAACTCTTATCTTGAAGACAGGACGATGCGATTAATACTCGATTTGTGTGCGTAAATGTCACTTCTGACCATCCCATGACCAGGCCGTTTGCTCAGAGTATAGTATGCAATGCCCTTATCCCAGCCACAAAATAAGGCATCGCTAATAGCCGTCACTAGAGGCCGGATTCTGGCTCGTTCAGACATTGCACGAATCACATCCATACTTCTTCTCCCTGTCATACCTACACAAAACTCCCCTCCCACCCCGCACACACGCATACATGGGCACTTGATTGTGCATATACACACATGAAGACAAGTTGACACATTCACTCATATGACGCCATCACCTTGGGTCGCATGCTCAAGTGCCGACGGTGATAAGTAGTTTCTTTGTCTGGACACGAATTCCTCAAATCCGTTATCCTGGCCCACATGCCCGTCTGATTGTAGGCCACAGCAACAATTGAGGCAGATGTTATCTGATCTGCTTGTTGAGACTGCAAAACCTCTTCAAAATCAGTCCATTTTGGGCGCGAGGACTTGACAGCCTAACAAACACGAGTACCTTTTGGCCAAGTTTTTTGGGGCATTTCAAACTGACAAAATACTGAACTGTCTGCAACTGGGAGCAACAGATAATTCTATTCTGTTTTGGTCGGACAATGCTGGTATTCCGCCTCTCTGCGGCTAAACAGGTGCACATGTAGTCAGTCTAAAGCAATCTAGCCGTCCAATCGGCAGCACAAGCACTGCCATGGGAGATTCATGAAGACTTGGGAGCAAGGGCGGTGGAAGGCAGAGTTCAGCCAGGCAAGGGGATCTTCATTTATTTACCAAATACACATCAAGCACTGAGTTACATGTTAACGAATCAAGGATGTCTTCGCAACCCCTTTTTCTGCGCAGGATAACAAACCGCCAACATCGCATCGCCCCCGAATGCCAATACTTGCCCACATCGTGTATGGCGATTAAATTAATCTAACAACCTCCTGTCTAGGCGCAATATATCTTTTAGAGGATGCTCTATTCTTTTTTTGTATAGAAGTCCCCAATAATAGGCCTTCTAACTTGCCTCATACCAATCAGCTTTGTCAGACCAAACGGCATACTTAAATCAGCTCGCACAGAATTTGCACGTCGTAATGGGAGTCGTCTTTGAACTGAAAAAATGCGTAGCCAAATGGCTACCTGTCGGTATGAGTGAATTGGCTAGTCGACTTGTAGTTAAGGCATTGAAGCAAATATTGAGGAAATTTGGATAGTACAGACAGGGCTGATAAAGTCTCCTTCCCTTTTCCATGATAAAGGCCTTGACTTTGGTTTCCTCTTCTGCAGGCTGCCTCAGAGACGGGTCTAAAAATGTGCATGCTCTAACTTAATGATGGGACAGTGAGAATTTCTGAAAGTCAGTCTTTTATTATAGTCATAACGAGATAAAGTTCACTCGTCCACGATATAGTTACAGCGCTAGCTACCCACATTTAAACAGTTTTCTGCAGAAGTGGCAAGTCGGGTGATCAGAAAACTGTCGGGGTATTACCATCTCTTACGTATGATCGTAGATATGAAGATCAAGATGGTGTGACCTTATGTTTGGTCGCAGTATCCCTCAGCTTTATAGTGTTGGTTCGACCTTGCTTTCGCCTTGTTTAACCCTGGATGAGAACAACTTTTGGGAAAACAAGGCAATGTGAAATTCAATGGAAGCGTCGGCTCTCCTCATAGCATTGTGGGAAATATCTACTACCAGTCCTTCATCACCTTAAACCAAATAGGGTAAATACTTCTCATATTACGGATCTACTGGTAGTCTCGAAACTCTACTCAAATACGAAAATAACCGTATTTAGTTTAAAGTGATGCAAACCATGTAATTGAATTTTGTGAAGAAAAGTTGGATTTATAGAATTTTTCTTGTTTCATAATAGTTTAGCTTACTTCCATTTCGAGTGAAAACGTTTGGTGAAGAGACTCGAAGGTCCATTCCACCAGAAGACAACGGCGGATTCCTCGGGACCAGTTGTCGATTGGCTTTACTGGCACATTCGTGGTGACGCTGTTTCCGAGGTAATTTCCTTCGATTCCGGTGAAAATGTGCTAAGCTTTCGTCCGTCATATGAAAAATATGATCAGAGCAAGGTATCATCCTTGCAACAAAATTCAAGCTGACGAATCAAGCAAACTCACCGGCAAATCCA